ACTCTCCCCAGGAATCAGGGCTGAGGGCCATACTCAAGCCTTGGCTGCACCTCCCAGATAGGTGGGCTACCTGGTACCACAAACACATGACCTTCCCAGCTGTGCACTCCTACCCCACCTGTGGAGCCTGGACTTCCCCTCCTGGGAGAGGCACATCTGGGTCCCCACCCCGGCATTTCCTAGGCACCATGCCCTAGAGGTGGCTGAGGTTAACATCAGCAGAACCCAAACTCTGTTCTGGGAACTTCCATCAGGAAGTGAGGGGCTGATCCAGAGGGACTACAGCTTCCTGACCTCCCCTCCTCTCTGATACTCGACCCTCCCAGCCAACAGCACAGGGCTCAGACATCTGCCACAGATGAGTGTGGGTGAAGCAGGGGTTTAGGAGGCATCAACCCTGACAGCTCTGTGCCCGCCTGACACCTCAAGCCCCTCCCCAGAACAGGACCTACTTCCTGGGTGGGCTAGGCCATCTCTGTCAGCCAGCGTGCTCGGAATAAGCTGGGAGGAGTGGGTAATCCCAGCCTGCTCTGACCTCTTAGCACTAAACTCCTCCCAGGACAATCAGCCCTGCCCACTCGGTGCCTTTGGGAAGAGGAGGCTGCTCCCGGCCCTTCAGTAGTGGCCTACCCACCCAGCCACATAAGCCTAATGGCAGAATGCCAGGTGCAAGTGTGCCCTGCCTCAGAGGGAAACCCTGATGGGCATGTGGGAACTGGAACAGCTCCCTATGCAGGCCTGGCCCTGCAGGCTGTCTGGGGGCCCTCTGATAAGGTGTGGAAGCCTCCAAGGTGCAATTAGTGGCCAGCAGACTGGCAATTAGGCCCAGGAGGGAAGGGCCACTTGGCTCAGGGATGCCCTGTTGCCCATCCCCAGCAGGACCCCCATTGGGCACTGCCTTCCTAATCCACAATGTAGGCCAACTGGGTAATCTGGCTTAAGCACTGCTATTCTGGGGCTATCACACCACACAGGTTTCCTGGAGAAGGTGGCAAACAGACACAGGAGGAAGGACCCAGAGGAGCCCATCAACACTCTATCATCTCCAAGTGACTGACTCTGATCTCCTTGGTCTCTTGCGAGTAGGGGAGGTCGGGGGGACTTCAATGCTCTGCTTCAGGAAGGTACAAACACCCTACAAACACCATTACAAAAAGTACCGTTTCTATCTAGAGATAATCCCAGTGGACTCCTAGATTCTCATGGGCATCCCAGCTTTCCGACCCAAATACGTGCCACACACACACCTGCACACACGTGCGCTGGCTCTGAGCTCATGGCCATTAGCCAGTGCAGCCCTGTCTCTCCCTTGAGGCCTGGTGCACAAGAGGTCTCTCCCTCTCTGGCAACCTTCACAAAGCCCAGTCCTTTGCAGGAAGCATGTCCCATTGGCAGCCCAGCCTACTCCCCTGGATCTGTCCTGACTTCCTAGCACGGGGTGACTGGGGAGGGGAGTGGAGGGAGAGACCCAGCAAGGCAGTGGAGAGGCTGGGTGCCACCAGGTCCCGTGAGGGATGAGGACTGGGGTCTGACCCCCACAATGCCAGCCTCTGGGCAGTGCTGGGTCTTTGCCTCTAGGGCTGGGCAGCTGCAGCTGTCCAGTGGCCTAGAACTCTTGGACCTGTGGCTGTGTTTGGTGCTACAGGAACATTAGTTCTTCCAGGGCAGGAGCAGCCCCAAGTGGACACATGGTGATGGCCACAGCCATGGACCAGGAGGCCTGCCGGAGCTGTGATCATAGTGGCAAGCCCTCAACCCAGTGGGCACTCATCCCCAGCACCCAATTTGGGGAGTCTACCTCTAGGGAGAACAGGACCCAAAGGCACCCCTACCCTCCTGTTAGGGACTTGGGAGGTGCCCCTCAGGGGGGTTGGGAGCACAGAGAAGGGGGAGAGGCCCATCTGCCTGTTTGCACAGAAGCCCCTCAGGGACGCTCTGTTTTCTGTCATGTGTCTGCCATAGGAGAGTGCCCTACCTCATACCCCCACAACTCTGGGGGGCACCCTCCAGCCCCCAACTGTAACCTGGTCAGCAAGACCCAGGGCTTTCTCCAACATGCTTCCCCAGCAGTTGCTGCATTCCCCACGCCTGCAGTAAGGCCACACCTCCTGACTGTGAGTTCTGACACCTGGAGACTGCAAACCTGCACAGGACTAGCCTTCAGTTAGGACCAAACACCACACACCAAATCCCAGTGCTGACACCCCCACAGGGCATGTGGCACAAGTCCTGCTTATCACCTCACATCCAAACACTGGTTTCTATCCTGCGCCCTCCACCCTGTGGTGGGACACTGGGTAGGGGAGCCTGTCCCACTGAGCAGCACTCCCAGGCTCACTACCTACCTGCACTGGGCCAGCAGTGAGCAGGGGATGCATCCGCACAGGACTGGCTGGCAGCTGCAAAGCTCACTCCCTGCCTGATTCTGAATCACTGCAACCCTCAGCCTCTCCTGAGCCTCCACCTACATCAAGCCCAAGCTCCACGTGCCCCAGTGCAGCCATTACCCGCTCCACTCTGTAGTCTCATGGTGGTGGAGTCCAGCCTGCTCACCCTGGCTAAGGGCATGTGTGCTGAGTCTTACCCCGAGGGCCCATACAAACCACACAGGGATGGCCTGGGCCTGCACAAGTGCCCAGAGAGCCGCGGGGGGACAGGGCTCTGTCCAGTAAGCACGCAACAGAGCACTCAGTAAAGCCACCTTCCACAGAGCACCCAGCAAGGGACAGTGCTTTGGCCTTGAGTACACGGAGATTGACTTTGGCCCCAGTGCCTGCAGAACCAACCAACTGAAACGTGTAAGTCAGAGGAGTCATCTCTTGGGCATAGAGCCCTCTGGCTGGGGTATTCTGTTTCTCCATTTCTTGACTATCCCACAATCCCAAACCCTAGTGGCCTGGCAAGAAACGGCAAAGCTCACAGGACTGCAATAAAAACCCAGATGCAAGCGTGTGCATTCCGGAATGCTCTCCGACAGAACCCTGCCCAAGAAGCACCCAATGCAGCCAGGCAGCCTTCTTCCAGAAGCACAAGGTGGAACTTCCTCTTCCCAGCTTCCACTTTCATCCCGCTCTGTCCCAAGAGCAGGACACTGTCACCACCCCCCTCTCCTCCCACGCCTCCACAAGACACCCAAGAGAAGGCATGGCCTCTGAGAACAAGGAGAGGAAAGGTCAAGCCCTGCCAGCCCTCGTGTAAGCTACAAGCCGCAAGACGGGAAAGAATCTGGCTCAGGACAGCAGGTCATGGCCCTCCCCACAAAGAGACACATCCTGGCCAAGTAGCCTTGACAAACCACTCAGCCTTTGGGAACTTGGCTTGAAATGGGGTAGCCACAAAGCACCAGCCATTACTCCTCACTTCTCCCCACAATGGGGCTGGAACTATTCCTCTCATAAAAGAAAGCTGGCCCCTCAAAAGCATGAGCAAGAGCCACACTGTCCGTGCAGGACTTGGGCCTGTATCGGTGCTGCATGGCATGTCCGGGTCTCTTTCCATAAAGGAGAAGAACCAGGATTCAGTCTTGTACCAAATCCCAATTCTGCACCACAGACACAGGGCAGAGGAGGCACAAGAGGGGAAGGGTCCCAGGCAAGCAAGCTACAAAGCAGGAAGGGCAGAGGCACTACGGAATCAGCCTTGCTCTCAGAGAAGAAACTGAGACCCTCAAGTGCAGAGTCAGCAGGGACTGGGGGAGACAGAGGCCTGGCACACGGAGGCAGCAAGGACTTGGAGCTGACTACAAAAGTACCGGCCCCCATTCCAGTGCTCCCAGGAGCTCACCCTCATTACTAACTTTCACTGTTGGTGGGCTGGAGTCACCTCTTTCCACCCCAAACACATCACAATACCCTCTTCATTTCTGCTCTTCCTCAGATCAACTGAACATGTTTTTCAGGCTATGGTGAACATGCTACTAAAAAACCTGAAATTTACAGTTTAGGTGTAAAATAAATTTTTTTGGTGTGGCTGAATAGAAAAGTAGTGACTGCACTGCTATAACTCCCGGAATCTGCTACTCAAGAAAATAACTGAGCCCTGGCCGGTTTTGCTTAGTGGATAGAGCATCAATCAGTCTGCAGACTGAAGGGTCCCGGGTTTGATTCTGGTCAAGGGCACATGCCCAGGTTGCTGGCCTGATCCCCAGTAGGGGGCATGTAGGAGGCAGCCAATCAATGATTCTCTCTCATCCTTGACATTTCTATCTCTCTCCTTCTCCCTTCCTCTCTGAAAGCAATAAAAAAATATATTTTTTTAAAAGAACAATTGTAAACCTACTTAAAAAAAAAAAAAGGAAAGGAAATAACTGATATCACTCATACCAGTCAAAGATCAAGGGCCAGGTCTAGGTGAACCCAGAATCTAAACAAAGTCCTAGCACACTACACCTGTCACAGGTGTGGCCCTGACCTGGGCATAAGCGAGTTTGGTGTTGCAGGCAGTTGTGTGGCATTCTATGAGCAGGGATAGAGTGGAAACTCACATAGCAGGAAATTAAGCTTGTTAGTGGTAAGACAGGAAACCCCACCCCTCCCAGGTCCCTCCTAGGAGTGAAGAGAGAGGGTTTCCTGCATTCTTCACAGCAAGTCATGGTCTGGGAAATCTAAGAGTGACAAAAAGTCCAGAAAAGCCTGCAGGCAAGCTGCCTAGGGCACTCACAAGAGGCCAAGTCCTGGTTCCTCTTCCTGTCCCTGTGGGCCCCACCCATACAGGCCAGCTGTCAGCTCAGCTCACTGCTTCCCTTTTCCCAAGTGAAAGACCACAGTGATAACAGGTGGGGTGACAGGCCTCATTGCTCCTCCCCAAACCAGCACCTTCCCTCTCTGTTCCCAAAAGAATGTCTACGAACAGCAGACGGGCAGCTCCAGCAATCTAGACTTGAGGTCTCTAGGACTGAGAGAAGCCGAACATCCGATTACCACGTCCAAGTCAGGAATGCCTGCCCCAGAACCTGCTCTAGGTGGTGTCTCTGTATCTGCACTGCCCAGCAGCCTTGGGGCAGGCCAGCACCCTGCAGTCCTGGGGGCCCCGCGAGCTGGGAGGGGCGGTGGGGACGATGCCATACCAGGTTCCTCAGGCGGCCACGCAGTGGCCTTTGCCCCCCGGGGTTTCCGGCTCTGTGGTGCGCCCACCTTGGGGGGGAGTGTCAGACTGCTTCCCCTCTCTGCCCTCCGCGTCCTTCAGGGTCCGCAATGGCATCCGCAAGAAGTCCTCGGGCTGCAGGGGTTTTACAAGCTGTCTGGAGCTTTCCGTGCCAGGAGAATTTCCTCCTACGTTTTGAGAACTGGCACAGAGGAACCAGCTTTTAATGTGTCTAAGAAATGCGGCCACCAAAAGCAACTTTAACACCCAGACTCACAGGACACAAGTTCAAAACGAAGGGCGACCCTAAATGAAGTCAATTCACCTCCATGAAAGACCGCATTACCCAGTCCTCGTGTCCCCGGCTTCGCTCGCTAGGACTCCGCGACAAGCCAGCCCTGCAAGCTACTGAGGACGGGGGGGGGGGG